AAATCTATTTGATGGACTGTAATAGAATCATGATTGCTTGTGTTAAAAGAGCTAGCCCAAAGCTTGTTGTCATTCTGCACATTGTTAGTGGGGAAGGTTAAAGATAGGAAGGATTGAATCTCAAAAGTAGCTCAGTATTCCTTACCAAAATGATTTTTTTCTTCACTGATGAACCAATGATCATTTAGTGTTATTAGTATTTAGTATTCTTTTTTTATTTTTTTTATTATTTATTTATGATAGTCATACAGAGAGAGAGAGAGAGAGAGAGGCAGAGACATAGGCAGAGGGAGAAGCAGGCTCCATGCACCGGGAGCCCGACGTGGGATTCGATCCCGGGTCTCCAGGATCGCGCCCTGGGCCAAAGGCAGGCGCCAAACCGCTGCGCCACCCAGGGATCCCCAGTATTTAGTATTCTTATATCACTGTTTGTGCTAAATGAAAAATCCACGTATTCTCGCCATCAGAAAAACCTGAGAAGCTTGTTAATGATTCAGGTTCCTGCCCTCCACCCTAGATCTACCAAATCATGATCTTTGATAGGATTACTTTTTTCTTTTGTAAGAAAAACCTTTCCAGGAGGGGCTCCTAGCTGGCTCAGTCAGAACATGTGATACTCTTGATCTCAGGGGTCATGAGTTCAAGCCTCACACTGGGTATAGAGTTTTTGTAAAAAATAAAATCTTAGGAGATTCTGATGCATACTAAAGCTAGAGAACTATGATGTAGATAAAAGCAACGGGTTGCCTGATTTTTCACATTTCAGCCGACTCAACATTGTACCAGTCATACTTTAGTTTGTCCTTGTTTTCAGGCAAAATGAGGATTTGGTACTTAAGCAGATTGTTCAGAACTTCTGTACAAATGGAAAGTTCTATTACCTTCATAATTGCCAAGTCTAAGAAATTTTCAGTGAGCAAAAGGAAAATTATAGTTGGATGATAAAAATGGAACTTGACACTAGAGTTTTTCAAAGACCGTGTTAGCATTTATTTTTCTACTCCTGACACTCGAATTCATAGGGGGTGAATGATAATAGAACATAATCAAAATAACATAAAAACACAATTCAAGAACCTTTAACCATCTATCATAGCTGTTCTTTGTAAAATACATAAAGGTAAACAGAAACATCTTTATATAAATTATACTTAACAATCTGTATACACTGTAAAACCATTGTTAAAATTCACACTAAGATGCTAGTACAAGCAGCAGTGTACAAAAGTGCAAACAAGGTTAATGACGAAAAACTTACACTGACTTACCACTTCCGCATACTCTGCGTTCAAATACTGAAGGCCTCACCACAGAAAACACTTTGATCACTTTTAAAGAAACGTGACTACATTCACCCCGAGTGCTCTCACCTCAGTATGGCAACTGATGATGAGTTCAGGTTACGAGCAGCACCAGGGAATAGAGAAACCCATGTGAAGTTGGCCATTCTGATGTGCCCACACTTGATAAAACAATTCCAAAGACCTCTTGAATGTCAAAAGCTGTAGAACTATCTTTTACCCCAAAATATTTGAAACTGAAATTAAATCGAATTCTTCCTCCCTCATTTAAAATGCATGCTGAAGAATTCACTCCAATACAGCTTTTCCAAAAATAACTGCGTGAAACCACTCAAAAAGGCTTTGCTATAAAATGGCCCTAAAATCTATTTGGAGCAAGGATGCTCCTGAAACAAAGTTTACTTGGATAAATTTGCTCACTCTAATTACTTTTGATTCTCTTTAAAAGTGTGGTCAAATCCCTGAACAATCGGTCAGTGGTATTAAATGCATGTTATTTAATGTTCTAAATTTTGAGGACAAAAATGAGTTGGTTCAGAGCTACATCTTCAATAGACTCTGTAGATTCCCTTCATTCTTTTTATCCAGGGGTGGTGTGGGAGTGTGAGAGGGGATGGTTCCAGGGTTCAGAAGTGGAAACTTGGTTTTAACAAAATCCCACTTTCCACAGAGGCACAGTCCTATATTCCAAGATTTGTTTGTTGGTTAAAAAGCACTAATTTGCATTTCAAAAGAACAATGATGGAAGCCATCCCCTTGTAGCATTAGGAATTTAGACCTTAATTGAAGATACACTGTTTTCTGAACTCTTATATTTACAGCAAAAAAAATTAAAAGGTTTATAGAGAACCTTTAATTTATCATTAATTTTGCATTAAGGAATTTTTATTTGTTAATCTCTATGTTTTCATGCTTTCTTGGAGATTTTTTGAAGCTTCAACTTTTACATAGGTTTAAAATGATCTAAGCAATATACTCTAAAATGAACACAAGATACTTTGAGAGCATTCCCTTCATATTAGCTCTTCTCATTGTACTCTGGTCAAAATTTATTTGGCAATATTCCCTTGTGAATTTTATTCACATAACTATCAAGACTGAAATGCCACACTGAATCACAACCAGTAGTTTCATAACATGTAAACCTTGCAAGTAGTTTATGTGCTGGAAAGCACTAGGAAGTGTGAGCTGGTTCAAAACTAAGGAAAAGAAACACTACTGTAAACCACAATAAGTGTGTCTATATACACAGGCACACAAAACTAAACTTTACATCTGCGCAGGCAATATCTGAATTCATACATCTTTGGCACTCAAAGATACTGGGTCAACCAAGCCAATGGTGAAGAATATTTTTTCATGTATTTTAGAAAATGTCTGGTTCCAATTAAAAAAAAATGCTATGCTGTCCATCCTAAAAATTCACTGAGATAGACAAACCAGAATCAATTTAAAACATTACCCAAAAGTATATAATAGCAGTCCCTGAAAGAGGTATGGGGTTAAAGGTTTCATTAAAATGAAAAATGTGGTCTGAGATCTTGTCTTTTAGAGTTTTACGCTAAAGATTCTAAAACCTCTTTTGAGCAGTGCCTGATTTATATGGAATCCAATCTTGCCTTGTGTACATTTTCACACCTTATGGTAGAAGGTAGAAAATTAACCTATGTCTGCAATGCTACCATTTACCCCCAGAATATTGCACAGGTGCACCCACTTGCACGGGCACAGAAAGAGTACATATTTTCCCTATGTTTCTATTGTTTCTTGCCATCTTCTTAATAGGCCTCTCTAGGAAGGGGAACAGTGACTCAGTGTATGTGCCTGGAGGAGCTGGAAGAGTGAGATAATAAGCTCAATATCTAGAGCCCATCTCCCTGAAGCTGGAACTGGGGGTGGGGAAAGCCGGCTGCTGCTAAGTGCAGCTTCATTTCTGAATGCTCAGGCCATAAGAATGGGAAAATATCCACAGTTTAGCTGTGGTACACAACTGACTTTGTTTCTTTGATCTCACTGTCAGAATCAGAATGAGAATTCTGGAGTGATGTATTTTGTATCACAAAGAATTTTTCCTTTATTCCAATTTATGACACAAATAATTAACTTCTCAATATCATAGTATAAGGAAATACTTGAAGAAAAGGCATGTCCTTATAGGAGCTCAAGACAGATACCAACAACGAGAGGCAGTTACTTTTAATAAAGCCTAGTTCTGTTTAGTCAGGATATTAGAAGTACTTGATTTTTTTATTTAAGTAATCTCTACACCCAATGTGGGGCTTGAACTCACAACCCCAAGATCAAGAGTCACATGTTTCACCAAATGAGCCAGTCAGGTGCCCCTAGAAGTGAGTATTTGAACCCCATGTGGCAGAATAAACCAAAAGGTTGATAGGTCATTTCCTCCTTTTTCCATGATGCTACCAATGATTCTAAGCAGGGAAGATGCTCTTATTTTCATTTGAAAGGAAGCTTAAAGTGAAACAGAAGAGCCATATTACTAAAACCAAAGGTCACGTTGAAATGACCTTGCTAGTTTAGCTAATGGTAAGTCCTTCCAGTTATATCCCTCAATCCTTGTGTATCTCAGATGTTCCATTATTGATGACAGAAAGAACTAGAATAACTGATTTGGAAAACAGCTAAAGAAAACACTAATTCTGATACTGAAAGTATTCTTGATGGAACTGGAGCAATCTATTTGCAATGGAATTGGTTAAATATATTATAAAATCCTGGTTTATAACCAAGAGAGAACTAACTCTCAAGTTTGAGTCTTTAAAAAAATACACGCTTGGCACTTAGCTTTCAGCTTATTTTAGTAATCATGGAAATCTCAGAATTTCATGGGAAAAAAAGAACTCAATTTCTTAGAAGGTTAAAGTGCTTTAAAAGCTAACTAAAATGTTAGTCTACCAGTGAGGCTTGCAGACACTATCACATGGCAAGTATTATTTCTAAAACCAAAGCCTTGGTGCTATATAAAGAGCTGAGAGCAGTTAAGAAAATTGAACACAGCATTCATTTATTTCTACTGAGAAATAAAATATGCTAGATAATGCAAAAGAGCTATAGGACAGGACCAGAATCCCCACACAGCTCAGTGACAACTGAAGCAGAACAGGCGTCCTTTCTCCTCACACATGCAGGCCTCCACAATGAAACTATGCACAAGGTGCTACTTGTTGCTTGCCCTGGGAATACCATTATGTAAAAGGAACTGAGGAGTACCTCTAAATGTGGGGGAGACTGCTGCCTGTCACTACTTTTGGGGAAAAGGCACAAATGACCAAACCAGGCACCAAAAAGTTTGGAACACTTCAGAATCTGACAACTGGAATAGAGCTACAGGGCCTATCAAACCCCAGATTAACTTTGTGTTGTACCAGAAGATGTGCTTTTCTTCAGAAGACCGATCTCACAGAAATGAGGATGTGGACCCCATCAGCACTAACAATAGTAGCATTACTGTTACAAATACACATGATTCAGAGATAAATGTGGTATAAAGTACAACCATATGCAACTTTTCTTCTGGTAAATGCAAAAGCCTCTAGAGACTTAAACATTATCCTAAAAAATTCTGAAGTGGTCTCCTTTCCCCACAACCCCCTCATATGTATGTTATTAAATACTCAAAACTTCAGAGGACACTAGCTAGATAAGACACATTAAAATGAGACATCTGCCCAACAAGGATGCCAAACATCAGGGTGTGTTTTATTGCATGACGTTTGCATAAGAAAAAATATTATTGAAAACTGTAAGGCATCATGCAATCATCAATAAGCTAATTATTAACTGTACACTTAAGATAGGTGGACATATAATCTAAAATTTAAAAACTAGTTCCAAAATAGTACATAAAAATTTAACATGATGAGCTTTTAAACATGGTTTATATTTGTAGCTTCACATTGTTAAAAAGTGCTTCAAATGTACTGCTGGAAAGTTGTTCTTTATAAATGGCACTGGGGGAAATGTCAGATATTAAACTGTATAAACTAATTATTTTTATGGAATTAGAAAGCTAACGTGATATTCAAACTTACTTGAATCAGTTTTCAATTTCCACTCAAATTAAGTTGATATAATATTAATAATCTAAAAAACATGTTTTCTAACCAACAAAAGTCTATTGAATTCAAGTTATGCATGTTGAATGATCAAATCTCTGAGTAGGCCTGAATGGTGAGACCTGGAACCGATGCAAGTGGTTGTTAATCAATGTACTGTGCCATCCAACGGAAACCTTCTCCATAACCTTGCCTTTTGAGCACGCTGCACATGAAAACTTCTAAGGGTCGGGCATTCAGTTCTTTCAGAGATACATTGCCCTAGAAAGGAAGAGAGACATTATATTATGATGGATGACCCCTTTTATTTTTATTTTTATTTTTTTTGATGACCCCTTTTTTTTTTTTTTTAATTTTTTATTTATTTATGATAGTCACAGAGAGAGAGAAAGAGAGGCAGAGACACAGGCAGAGGGAGAAGCAGGCTCCATGCACCAGGAGCCCGACGTGGGATTCGATCCCGGGTCTCCAGGACCGCGCCCTGGGCCAAAGGCAGGCGCCAAACCGCTGCGCCACCCAGGGATCCCTGATGACCCCTTTTTTAAATAAAAGCTCCACTTTACAGCCAAATGCAGCTTCTACATCTCAGAACAAAGGGTAACTGTGCTAAGCCTTGGGTGTTGGGCAGACAAGTCTCTTAGACACACAGGAAACCTCCTTCTCTCAGTAGAAAGAGGGGAATTTGTGAGGCACATAAGAATGAAAATAATCTTTGACTTAGGAAAAATTTTAAGTCACCCAAGCTGGCTTCACTAATATCTCTTAAAAATTTTATTTATTTATTTATTTGTTTGTTTATTTATTCATTCATTCGTTCATGAGAGACAGACAGAGGGGAGAGAGAGAGAGGCAGAGACATAGGCAGAGGGAGAAGGAGGCTCCATGCAGGGAGCCCGATGTGGGATTCGATCCTGGGACTCCAGGATCACGCCTGAGCTGAAAGCAGACGCTTAACCACAGAGCCACCCAGGTGTCCCGGCTTCACTAATATTAAAGACAAAACTTTCTGAGTAGGTTTATGATTAACAAGGCATTTTCTAAAAATGGGGAGTTGACTTACTGAAAAGAAGCCACAGAAAAATAGCTTAAAGTCTACCCTAACATCAGAGTCTCCTATCAAAGAATGCAGTATATTTCTCTACTCTCAAAATATATATATAAGCCAAGGAAATTTTGTTTGAAAACTGAAAATTTTCAATACTAAGGTCCCTCCCCTGAAACAAATACTAGTAAAAATGAATGCAAAAATAATGCATTTTGAAGCTTATCATAAAGTATGTTCAGGGATGCCTGGGTGGCTCAGTTAAGCCTCTGCCTTCGTCTCAGGTTATGATCCCAGTGGCCCGGGACTGAGACCCATGTAGGGCTCCCTGCTCTGCTTCTCCCTCTCCCACTGCCCCTCCCCCTGCTCATGCACTTGCTCTCACTCTCTCAGATAAGTAATATCTTTTATCTTTTATCTCTCTCAGATAAGTAATATCTTTTTTTAAAAAGTATGCAGAAAATCTACAAACATTCCTATGTTCAAATTTACACTTTATTTATATCTCTGATGAATTCAGGGCCTGTACACTACTGGAATGCTTACACATTTAAGTATATTATTTGGTGGCTAATTCTGAAAACTTTGAAAGCTTTCATTTGATTTCCCACAAGCATGAGCTTTGACATTTTTGTTATCCCCAAGAAAAGGTTTCATTCAGTGGCAGAAAGAAAACAACATGAAAATATTTTAAAAGACCCAAAGACTATACAAATGAGTATTTAATTTTTTTTAAAAATTTTATTTATTTATGATAGTCACACACACACAGAGAGAGAGAGACGCAGAGACATAGGCAGAGGGAGAAGCAGGCTCCATGCACCGGGAGCCCGATGTGGGATTCAATCCCGGGTCTCCAGGATCGCGCCCTGGGCCAAACCGCTGAGCCACCCAGGGATTCCCAGAAGCCTATGCCCTTAATGACTGTGTTACTATTTATTTATGATAGTCACGGGGGGGGGGGGGGGTAGAGACACAGGCAGAGGGAGAAGCAGGCTCCATGCACCGGGAGCCCGACGTGGGATTTGATCCCGGGTCTCCAGGATCGCACCCTGGGCCAAAGGCAGGCGCTAAACCGCTGCGCCACCCAGGGATTCCACAAATGAGTATTTAAGAAAAAATACTAATAATGGGCATATGTAGTTGGAAAATAGTAATTTAAAAAGATATTTGGCTGTACACTGGAAACTAATGTTACATGTCAGTTATACCTCAATTAAAAACAAAGGAAGAGGGGATCCCTGGGTGGTGCAGCGGTTTAGCGCCTGCCTTTGGCCCAGGGTGCGATCCTGGAGACCCGGGATCGAATCCCACATTGGGCTCCTGGTGCATGGAGCCTGTTTCTCCCTCTGCCTGTGTCTCTGCCTCTCTCTCTCTCTCACTGTGTGCCTATCATAAATAAATAAAAATTAAAAAAAAATTAAAAAAAAAAAAAAAAACAAAGGAAGACCACCAGTTGGACTAACCACCATGATTACTGTTAGCACTAGTATTGGAATAATCTATTTCAGAAGATAAAAATAAGTAAGACATTAAAAGACTCATGCTATCGAATGAAATAGTCACAGTAGTAAAAAAAAAAAAAAAATTATTTACCTTTCCTGTCGTCTGACCATATAAACCAAACATCTCTCGTAACCTCTCTTCACTGATGGCTTCAGGTCTGTCAATCTTATTCCCAAGAATCAGTATAGGCACATTAGCAATGGTTTCATCTGTCATTAGTGACTGAAACAAAACAAAACACAAGATGTTGATATGAAACTGTCTAAAGAGCTCAATAATACAATATACCAAATGAGTATCAAGGACTCATTCTCTATCATTATGTCAGTTTTGCCAAATATCTCTGGCAAACTTTTCCTACATTTAAAGTAAGCTCAGGAGCACCTCGCTGGCTCAGTCAGTAGAGTATGCAACTCTTCATCTGGCAGCTGGGAGTTTGAGCTGCAAGCTGGGTATAGAGATGAGTTAAAATAATAATAATAATAATAATAATAATAATAATAATAATAATAATAAAAAGCTCAAGGAAACTGTAAGACTGTAAGCTCAATCTTTCTGTTTCCCTACAGCTGGGTATAGAGAGGAGTTAAAAATAATAATAATAAAAAAAAAAAAAGCTCAAGGAAACTAAGACTGTAAGCTCAATCTTTCTGTTTCCCTACAGCTCCTGTAAATGCTCAACTCTGCTCACTCTGTGAATCACTAAGGGACTCTAAAATACCTTGAAGGTGAGCAGACCTGGTTTCAATTCTAGTTCTACTGCTTATGAATTGTCACATCTTGGACAGATAAGCCTCAATAAAGTTCAAAGAGAATTTGGTATAGTACCACCTACCTTATGGAGTTGATTTGAGAATTAAAAGAGTTGATATACATGTGCCTGGCACAAAGTAGGTAGTTAGGAATTCCCTGACCTTGTTCCATGACCACAGAACCTACCTGGACTTTCCCACATGAACAATTATTTGTTTGCCTGCTCTGGGCAGAGGCATGGTCAGATCAAATCATTGCTTGTTCTGTGGTCTCAGATCTAGTCCTGGCCTTCCTGGTTGATCCAGAGCCTCTTTACAAAGAATCTGACCTGGGAGAGGGGATGAGAAGTGGCTACATGTGCCCCTACTCACTCTTGGAAGTGTTGACAAAGAGAGTATGTTATATTATTTCAGGTTCTGGCCAACTCCTGAAGAATATAGCATCTAGGATGGCCAGGGACTCAAGACCAAGCCATTGCAGGTATGTGGCAGACATGAAATACACTACAAAGGCACACCGTACAGAGTGAGCTTAGGTCTTCAGGAAGAAAGTCTGTATTAGTACGTCCTTAATAGCTACAACTACTCCAAGCTACTGTCTCTGTATTCTAAGTGGAGTAATCACTGAGCTCCATAAATAGCTAGGAGTTGTATCAGAAACTGCACAAAAGCTGCACTCTGATACCTAGATCTCCAACCTATTTCCTCAAGCTTGCCAGAGTGATTCAGCTGTGTTTAGTTTTAGTTAACTTACATCAAGTTCTTCTTTTGATTCTAACAGCCTTTCATGGTCTGCACAATCCACCAGAAATACAATGCCATTGATAGCAGGAAGGTAGTTTTTCCACACTCTTCGAGCTAACAAAAACAATCAGGAGTTAGAGTTTATTTGCTGGTCAAATCTAGCAGATAAGGTTTGATGGAAGAGTCCAACAAGATATCAAGTATAATTATCCCTTAGTGGCTACCACTTCACTATATACTCAAGTTAATCTTTAACCCAGGGTTGCCAAATCTTTCCAGAAGACCAAGGAAGGCTTTCCTTGATGGGAACAAGTCAAATATTTTACTCTGCCCCAATTCTCCCAAGTTCAAAGTGGAATTATTATTTGCTACCAATGGACGATGATACACATTAAGTTCACTGAATGACTATTACTATTTTAAAATTTTATTTATTTATATGCAGTATTTGTTTTTTGACATTTCAAGTTTATCAGTTTTTTTTTGCCACTGATATATTCAGAGTCAGTGAAAGAGAAAATTAGTGGGTACAGATTTGTTAAGTTAAAATAATAAAAGCAAACTGTTATAACAGAAATTAACTAAGGTCAATGAAACCATTAGGGTAATTTTTTTCCAAGACATTATTTTTAGAAAAGTTTGAGGGGTGCCTTAGGGGTAGGCAACTTTTTTCTGACTTCAGTTTTATATCTTAAATATAACACAGAAATTAAGTCTCAGACAAACCGTATTAGGTTCCAGTTCTCTCTAACCATTAAACTCTGGAAAGTATTTCATATATATTTCAAAGAATGATTATGTCTCAAGTGTGCATTCACTAACCACAACTACTCAAAATCTTTTCAACTCCTTGTCATAGGGCCCTGAAGGTGGGTTACTTGTGTGCAGTTGGGGATAGCATGAGCAAAAGCACAGAGTGGGGAGCACACTAAGGTTTGGTTTGGTTGGAGTACAGAGAATAGGAAAGGGAAGAGTGGAAATTAAATAAAGTGGGATCAGATTACAAGGATCCCAAACGCCACATCAGTGGGTTTGGCTTCCATGTTGTAGGTCAGCTATTGAAGGTTTTTAATACAGAACAGTAACATCATAATATGATTATGACAATCAGTGAGATGTGGATTGGAGCAGCAAATAGAGGCTAAATTTTGCTTACATGCTTTACACCAAAAGCAATTCAGAGTTAAATTGCTCAGGAGTATTATGAAAATCACTTTGGTTTAAAGCTTATCTGGTGGTAATAATTCTTTTTTAGTCTATTCTGGCTTTCCTTTAATAGAATGAGATTTCATGCACAGGAAAATAATAACCACATTTTTATTAAGCTAATTAAAATAAAGCAACTATAAGAGTAATAGTATCTTACCTTGAACATGTCCACCCAAATCAAAAGTTGTAAAGGTCATGCCAGCAATGGTTAATTCTTCTGAAGCTAAATAATAATATAAAATATTTTTACAACAAGAAAATCAGATATCCATTCATGGTTATGTACTGCTATTTAACGTTTGACTGACTTTAACTGCAAATAAGCTCAAATCAAACATTTAGGAATTGATAAAAGAATGTTGTAATTAGATATTCTCTAATTTATACTGACAACATAACACAAATAATGGTAATATTCTCGAATTCACTATCCATCACAAATCTGACATTCATTTTTCCTTCTCTATTTCCCCTGCTGAAAATACTAACTATTCAGTAACCATTTGGTGTGAATTCAAGTAACTTGCAATCTAATAATTTTTCTGATAATGCATCTTAGGTGATACCAGGAAAATAATTTTCTCCCATGCCTGTCATATTAGCAAGGGACAGTCTTTAGTGACACAGCTGCAATACAAATTTTTTGCCATGATTTCTTCAAATTTTTTTCTGCTTCCTCCCTTCTTCTTCTAGGACTTCAAGTATAGGTTGGCTGGACTGCTTAGTATTGTCCCACAAGTCACTGAGTATCTGTTTTTTTTTTTTTTTTCTTTCATTTTTCTCTCAGTGCTTCATTTTACATGTGCTTCTGTAGTACTAGCACTATTTTGCTGTTAATCCTATGTAATGAAAATCTCATTTCAGTCATTATACTTTTCATTTCTAGAAGTTCGACTTGGTTCTGTTTTCTATATTCCATTTCTTTCCTCATTCTGTTCATGTTTTCCTTCAGTCCTTGAGCACATTCATCATAGCTCTTTTGGCATCCTCATCTGCTAATTCCATCATCTTAGTCCCTTCTGAGTCTGTTTCTACTGATTTTTCTCCTGGCTGTGGATCACACTATCTTGCTTCTTTGCATGCCTAGTAATTTTTTACTAGATGCTGGATTTTGTTGTAGTCTTTTGATGTAAAATGAACTTTGTTCTGGCAGGCAGTTCAACTGCTTTCAGATCAGTTTTTAAGTTTCATTAGGTTACAATAGCCTTTACAGGTACTTCAGCCCCATTACTAAGGTATGATCCTTCTGGAGTCTCTATTGAACGCCTTATGTATCCAACCAGATCTCTCCCTTCTGGCTGGTGGGAACATGAATGATTCCTGGGCCCAGTGAGCTCTGAGAATTATTTGGTTAACAACTCTGCTACAATTACTCTTTCTCCAGAAAGTATTCCTTGACTGGCCATGGGGAGTTTTACCCTCTGCATAGATTGGTATTTAGCCATGAACATTTTTGCAGTTCTTTGTGTATAGAGCTTCTTCCTCTTTAGTACTATGCCAAGCAAATTCGCATCACTTCAGTCTCCCTTTATTCTGGTCTCTGTCTCCTCAACTCAGCAAGACCACTGTGTTATGTTTGGGTTTCTTCTCCCTGCACCATGGTCCGAAGATGACCTCCTCTGTGATAAAACTTGAATAAAGAAAGGTTTGTTTTCCTTCTCTCAGGAATTGTAGTCCTGTGCTATTGTCCAGTTCCGAAAATAGTATATATGTCCAGTTCTCTAGCTGCTTACAGTAGGAGGGTAATTCCAGATGCTCTTACTGCCCCACAGCCAAAAGCAGAAGTCCCCTACAATTATAATGAAAGGTTCAGTGTAATTTTAACTATTCATAACAATTGTTGAGGCCCCAGAGTAGTTTCTTGTTAAAAAATTCTTCATGTAGGGGTGCTTGGGTGGCTCAGTCAGTTAAGCATCTGGCTTTGGCTCAGGTCATGATCCTGGGGTCCTGGGATCAAGCCCCATATTTCGCTCCCCCTCTCCTTGCCTCCCCCTCGTGTTCTCTCACTTGAATAAATAAATAAAATATTTTTAAAAGTATATTTTAAAATATATTTTAAAAAATATTTTATTTATTTATTCATGAGAGACACAGAGAGAAAGGCAGAGACATAGGCAGAGGGAGAAGCTGGCTCCCCACAGGGAGCCCAAAGCAGGACCCGATCCCAGGACCCCAGGATCACGACCCGAGCCAAAGGCAGATGCTCAACCACTGGGCCACCCAGGTGCCCCAAATAAGTAAAATCTTGTTTTGTTTTTGTTTTTTTTTTTTTTAGATTTATTTATTTATTCATTCAGAGAGAGCAAAGAGAGAGGCAGAGACACAGGCAGAGAGAGAAGCAGGCTCCCTGCAGGAAGCCCGATGTGGGACTCGATCCTGGGTCCCCAGGATCACACCCCGGGCCACAGGTGGCGCCAAACCGCTGCGCCATCGGGGCTGCCCCAAATAAGTAAAATCTTAAAAACAATTTGTGTTCAAATGTGTTCCTTTCCATAAGGAAAATATAATGCTTGGTTAAAATCCCTAGTATACTCCCTGCTTTATAAAAAGTCCAGTTTCATTAAGATACAGAAAACTTAATATTCCAGGGAGTTTGCCCCTTCCCAGTCACTGTCCATTCCCAGAAGTAATCTGAATTCTATCACCACAGCCTTGTTGTGCCTGTTCTAGAATTTCATATAAATGATACCATACAATATGTAACTTTTTGTGACCAGCTTCTTCCAAGCAGCATAATAATATATACTGTATTTAACAGTCAATCTTCTTTCTTGTTGAACAGTTTCATTATTTATCCTTTTTTTTTTTTTTTTTTTTAAATGAGTATCTGAGCTGTTTCTAGTTTGGGGCTATTACAAACAAAGCTGGTATAACATTCTTGTACAAGGATTTCGGTGAACATATGTTTTTCATTTCTCCTTGATAAATACTAAGCAATGGAACTGCCAGATCATAGGGAAGATATATAGTAACTTTTCACATATGCTTTTGATTAATGAAAAATGTATGATAAAATGTGAGGTGCAGGAAAGTTGAGATGACAACTGTTTTGTGCCACTGCTTTTACTCCTAGTACTTCAAACAATGTGTGACATAAAGTAGGTGCTCAATAAATATTTGATGAATAAATAAAGGAGAGCAACATCAAAAATTTAAAAGTGGGGGTGCTTGGCTGGCTCAGTCCATAGAGCATGCAACTCTTGATCTCAGGGTTGTATACTGGAATCCCGTATTGGGTGTACATTACTTAAAAATAAGATCTTAAGAAAAAAAATTTTTTTTAATTTTTTAAGGATTTCATTTATTTATTTATAAAAATATATTTATTTTTTTAAGATTTTATTTATTTATTCATGACAGACACAGAGCGAGGCAGAGACACAGGCAGAGGGAGAAGCAGGCTCCATGCAGGGAGCCTGATGTGGGACTCGATCCTGGGTCTCCAGGATCACACCCTGGGCTGAAGGCGGCGCTAAACGGCTGAGCCACCCGGGCTATCCTCATTTATTTATTTGAGAGAAAGTGAGCGGCAGAGAAAGAGGGAGAAGCAGACTCTCCACTGAGCAGGGAGCCAATGTGGGGCTTGATTCCAGGACTCTGGGATCATGACCTGAGCCAAACGCAGCCACTTAACAGGCTAAGCCACCCAGGCACCCCTAAAAAAATGTTTTTAAATTGATTTCACCTAATATAATACCACTTTGTAGTTTCTTCCAATTGTTTAGGCACACAATTTATATACTCAATTTCACCATGATCATTTTTTAATAGTATTGTTCTTATATCAGAACAAAGCCCTATTCTTCTCCTAATATAAAAAATTTTTTTTATCAATTTTATGAAATCTTCCCTTTCCAACTTCACTAAGAGCTCTATCAATAAAATGATACATGGTTTTTGTTGTTCTCCTTCCCTGTTCTCTGAATATTTAGTGAATTAAATAACTATCATATTATCTACTTTTTGGTCCAGTGCTCAATTTTACACTCATTATTAAGGCCACAGTCATTTTTTCACAGTTAATTTGTGGATTAACTTGTTTTTAAACTCTATGCCTAAAAATATATAATTAAAAAACAAAACAGAACTTTAAGTCTACTTGATTCATAGTCTTTGCAAGTGAAAGTAAGGTCACAGGTATTTATCACAGGTATTTATAAGTTAGGCTTCTGTTCTAATAATTTTGTCACTTTAACATTTACTTTTTTGAACAGTATTATGACATAACTTTATATACTGTATGGTATGTATTAAGTGAGTTACAGAGTCAATATTAAGTATTAATGTCTTTCAGGTAGTCTTTCTTTTTCTTTTTTCTTTTTTTTTTTTTTAAGATTTTTATTTATTCATGAGAGACAGAGAGAGAGAGAGAGAGAGAGAGAGAGAGAGAGAGAGAGAGAGAGATACAGGCAGAGGGAGAAGCAGACTCCATGCAGGGAGTCCCCCTCGATCCAGGGAGTCCCCCTCGATCCCGGGACTCCAGGATCATGCCCTGGGCCGAAGGCAGGTGCTAAACTGCTGAGCCACCCAGGGATCCCCTCAGGTAGTCTTTCTTAAAGAAACCACAGTAAATTATCTTTCAAATTGTTCTAAAGCTTTCTATAAATGTATCAGTATGTGCCCTGTTTTTTTTGGAATTATTCTACAGTCTTTATATCAGATACTGTTGAGGTTTCTCTGAGTAGAAAATAACTGGTTAATAAATTGAGAGTTACCAGCAAAGTGTAAGACTATATAACCTGTCCACTGAATAAAGATTAAAAGTACACTTTTAAAACCTGAAAGAAACTGAAGTTATCTGAACAAGGTAATGGTGACTATTTATAGCCTAAGTAGTATTTGGTTGGATAGACCTCAATCATGTTATAATCCCTGAGATAGTAACTTTAATTCCTCTAGCTGGAGAAGGGTGTACTAATTGATAAGACAGGAGTATTATTTCAAGATCTATATATACTTCCAGGGAGTGGAGTGTGTCAGCTATGATTTATTATAGTATTTGAAGACTAGGTCAAATCATAATTTATTCACCAAAAAACCCCACCAAAAAACAAAAAGTTTTTGATTAGTGCCTATGAAGTGGTATCACTTGATAATGTAATATGTTGTATGTGGGAATATACTTACTGGGATGTAACGTGGGGACATGTTGTCCAAGTCTGTCATCTTTTAGCATGTGTAGCAATGTTGTTTTTCCTGCATTATCCAATCCAAGAAATACCAATTTACCGGTTTTCTTATATAATCCTGTAGAGTAAGAGCTATGATTAGTAAAAATTCTGACAGAGATTATCCAAACAAAAGACTTTGAATAAAAGAATTTAACATTTACAGTTAGTTATTTAGATACCTTTCCTAATTATTCTAGATTTTTTTTTATAAAGAAACACCTCTTGAACTTTAAGATTTTATAAATTGCTTGAAAAAGTCTGGATTTCTATTCTAGTTTTAGTTTTGAAGAGTTATTCTATATCATGATTTGCTAATTCACATCGTTTTATTTTATTTTTTTCTTTTTTTTTTACATCATTTTATTTTATTTTTTTTTTATTTTTATTTTATTTTATTTATGATAGGCACACAGTGAGAGAAAGAGAGAAAGAGGCAGAGACATAGGCAGAGGGAGAAGCAGGCTCCATGCACCGGGAGCCCGACGTGGGATTCGATCCCGGGTCTCCAGGATCGCGCCCTGGGCCAAAGGCAGGCGCTAAACCGCTGCGCCACCCAGGGATCCCCTACATCATTTTAAAACTAAATTTCGTCCCAGTCACTAAATGTGTTACCTAAACTTGTCTGCAATACCACAATGCTGATTCCCTTTACAATTTAGGGATAAATATCAATGTCCTCTACTAGAGAAACATTGATAAAATACTTGACATCATGTATTTATGAAGCTAGACCAAAAGGAAAATTAAGGAGATTTTCCATAGGCAAAAATAAATTAAGCAGTTTTGACAATAAAAATCATAGTGAGTTTTTTCAATAAAATGCTTAGGTCATTGTCAAATTTCCCTGAGAATACAGTTAAACTATTCACGGGATTGCATAAAACTAAAGCAGCAACAAAGAAACCAAGCACATAATTTTGGATGTATCAAGCAAGTACTGGTACAGGAAGTGACAGAAAAAAAGAACACTGACCAATATAGTAGTTTGGAATTTCCTGTGAAATTCCAAGTTGAGCTTTATTTTATTTTTTTAAAGATTTATTTATTCATTAGAGACACAGAGAGAGAGAGGCAGAGACACAGGCAGAGGGAGAAGCAGGCTCCTCAAGAGGAGCCTGATGCAGGACTCGATCCCAGGACCCTGGGATAACACCCTGAGTCGAAGGCAGACACTTAACCACTGAGCCACCCAGGCATCCCTATCTTTTTTTTAAAGGCTTTTTTTCAGAGCAGTTTTAGGTTTACAACAAAACTGACAGGATGGTACAGAGATTTCCAAAATACCCCTTGTCGCCACACATATGTAGCCTCCCCCCCCTTATCAACATCACTCACAAAAATGGTACATTTTTAACCAGCAATGAATCTACACTGAAACATCATAATCACTCAGTTAACTTAAGGCTCACTTGATTTGTATATTCTGTATTTTGACACACATATAAGGACATAAATCCATCATTATAATTATCATACTAAGTATTTTCATTGCCCTAAAAATCCTGTATGCTCTGCCTATTCTTCCCACCCTGTCCCCACTCCCCAGCATCCACTCATATTTTTTACTGTCTCCATATTTCTGCCTTTTTGCCTTGTCAGAATGTCATATAGTTGTAATCAGACAGTACGTAGCCTTGTAAGATTGGCTTCTTTTACTTAGTAATATGCATTTAAGCTTCCTCCATGTCTTTTCATGGCTTGATAGCTCATTTCTTTTTAGTGCTAAATAATGCTCCACTGTCTGGATGAACCAGTTTATTTATCCATTCACCTACTGAAGGATATCTTGGTTCCTTCCAAGTTTTGTCAATTATAAATGAAGCTGCTATAAAACATCAATATGCAGGTTCATGTGTGGACCTACCAAGGAGCACACCTGCTGGATTATATGGTGAGAGTATGTCTGGTTTTGTAAGAAATCCCCCAATCTTCCAAAGTGTCTGTACCATTTTGCATTCCCAGCAGTGAATGAACATTCTTGCTCCACATCCTGGTGTTGTCAACATCTAGCTTTTGAAAATTCTTTTTTAAAAAATTTTTTTAACTTTATTTATTCACAAGACACACACACACACACACACAGAATGAGAGAGAGAGGCAGAGGGAAAGGGAGAAGCAGGCTCCATGCAGGGAGCCCGACGTGGGACTCGATCCCGGGTCTCCAGGATCATGCCCTGGGCTGAAGGCGGCGCTAAATCGCTGAGCCACCCGGGCTGCCCTAGCTTTTGAAAATTCTAAGAGGTATGTGAGGGCAACCTGGGTGGCTCAGCAGTTTAGCGCCGCCTTCAGCCCAGGGTATAATCCTGGAGACCCAGGATCAAGTCCCATGTCGGGTTCCCAACATGAAGACTGCTTTTCCCTCTGCCTGTGTCCCTGTGTCTCTGCCTCTGTCTGTGCCTCTCATGAACAAATAAATAAAATCTTAAAAAAAAAAAAAAAAAAAAAAGAGGTATGTGGTAATACTGAACTTTATGTTTCATGTGTTTAATTGTCAACACCCATGGAATTACATGAGGACTGGGACATAATAGCAAGCCCAAAATATATTTACTCAATCAATGAATGAACTTTTAAAGATTTTAGGTGTTATAATTCAGGCTACCTATTTTTTAATAAGTTCATGCCAAAATAACACCTAATTCTTTATCCACATTGAACCTTAAGAAGTAAATTGTAGGATGTCCTAATCTTTCGATCACCCAGTGACCAAGAGTTTTGATCCTAAGGGCAGGATTGTTTTCCATATTTACTTGAGCTGGGATACTACATTTCTTATTTAATCATGAATTGTAACTAATAATTTTTTATACATTTCTTTTTAAGATTTTATTTATTTATTTGAGAGAGAAAGAGCACAACCAGGGGGAGCAGCAGAGGGAGAGGGAAAAGCATGCTCCCTGCTAAGTAGGTGGCTACATGTGGGGTTCAATCCTAGGACCCTGCAATCATGACCTGAGCTGAAGGCAGACACTTAACTGAGCCATCCAGGTGCCCTGACATTTCTATTTCTTAAAACGTTTCTACACAGATTGTTTTCAACCAGTGCAATCACAATCAATCTTGCTATCCTTTTAAGTAGTAAAAGTGCACTAGATAAAATTCCAAAAGGAACACCTAGAACGTTTAAATTTTAATCTTTCAAGTGAGTTGGACTAAATTCTTATTTTGTGATAGGCACTGTTAAGCAAACTGCTACACATTATTTAATCTTGAAAATAATTATTTGAAGTAAACATTATTATCTTCTTTTTTACAGATGGAAAAACAAAGGCTCAGAGTTAAACTTGCTCAAATGCTGAAGTTAGATCTGAGATTTAAAACCATGCCTGATGCCAAAGCTTTGGTTTATTTCATTTCTCTACACTGCCTCCTAATATTAGTCCTATTAACCTTTTGCTGCTGCTTATGCGGCAATTTATTTTGCTCTTTCAACATAGTTTAGCATAGATTAGTATTTCTATAAACTGAGATATAGATACCAACTTGTTACAACTAAGGTTATCCCAGTATAATGAAATTGAAAATGTTTATTTCTGACTCAATTGTTGCAAATCTGTAACAAAATATCTCGGTCTGATAAAAAAATATATATATATATTTTAAAGATTTTATTTATTTATTCATGAGAGATGCAGAGACACAGGCAGAGACACAGACAGGGAGAGAAGCAGGCTCCACGTAGAGAGCCCGATGTGGGACTCAATCCTGGGACTCCAGGATCACGCCCTGGGCCAAAGGCAGGTGCTAAACCGCTGAGCCACCCAGGTGTCCCTGGTCTGATAAAAATATTAAAGAATTCTTGAGGAGGTAGTGTAGAGAGATCTGATATTTGATCTGTGGTAGAGTGACAGTATAAAATGTGAGGAATTTTAAAAAGGAAAAAAAATAAACCTTGTTTTTTAAAAATGTGCAAACATTGAGGTCCAAATAAGATATAAAAATAGATTGACAAAATTTGATCTTACATTTTTATCCTTCTAATATGTAGTAATCAAACAAAATGTGTATTTTCCAAGCAAAATTTATTTCCTTTGTTAAGATGTTGTGGAAAAAGAACTATTTATATAGGAGATAATAATTCTTAAGTATGGTTGTGGCCAGTTAGGAATTATGTTGACAACTCTGTAATTATATGAAATGCTTCTCTTTGTTCCAGTTCAAGATGATGATTACATGGAGACTAAACTTAGGGCATGATTTGAAAATAGGAGACTGGAAATATCTTCATTAATTACTACAATAATAAAATTGTGTACATTGTAACATAAAAGTTAATCAAAATCTTGTTTCACTGGAAAATGTGAGAAGAGTGTTAAAAGAATGAGATGCTAAGATTTTTCCTCTTTAAAATCTATAAAGAAAACAAAATCTATAAAGAGAGGAAAATCTCTAGTCAGAATTGCTGGGTATACAAGTCTCATTTAGAAGATGATATGCTGGGCAGCCGGGGTGGCTCAGCGGTTTAGTGCCGCCTTCAGCCCAGGCTGTGATCCTGGAGACCCGGGATCGAGTCCCACATCAGGCTCCCTGCATGGAGCCTGTTTCTCCCTCTGCCTGTGTCTCTGTCTCTCTCTCTCTCTGTCTCTCATGAATAAATAAAATCTTAAAAAAAAAAAAAAAGATGATATGCTGCCAGTTATGATATGCAAGGCACTTTATGGAAGTGCGTTTTATAATAACAAAAATAATGCAGAGAATCCTGTGAGGATTAAATGAGATAAAGTATCTAAAAGCACTTAGGTAAACTGGCTAATCAAAGGTAGCTATTCCTGTAAATAATATTCCTATCAACAACCTTAAGGTGTAGGAATTATTTTTAATTTACAGATAAGGAAACAAAGCTAAGGCGGAGAAAGTAATGTACCCAAGATTACATAATTAAAAGGGATACAATGAGTAACTGAACACATTTGTATGATTTCAAAGCCCACATTTGCAACTACTGGGTTCTATATAAAGAAGCTTCAGACAAATAAGCACTTTTATTTAAGTAGGAATAAATGGGATAACAGTAGAGAAAAAAGGGCCAATATTACCTAAAAACTGTAGAACACTGCTGAAACCACTGTAAATCCAGTCAAATATGAAGGACATATCCAAATCTTACAGGGTCTGGAAAAGAAAGAGTTTTGAATTCAGTAGTCAACATTAAACACCTACAATATTAAGCATGAACTCTGAGTAAAAAATCCTACAACAACCTTACTATAAGTAGTTAGCCATTTTTAACCAGGGTGGTCTAATCGGACATAGACTGATGCATAAAAAACAAAATGTCATTAAAATACAAACTAGTGGGGTGCCTGGCTGGCTTGGTTGGTAGAAGATGTGACTCTTGACCTTAGGGTTCTGAGTTCAATCCTCATGTTGGGTGTGGAGGTTACATAAAAAAAGAAAAGAAAGACAAAAAAGTAAAAGATCTCTTTCCATTTTCAAGAAAACAAACTAAAATATTTTTTTTAATTTAAAAAAAAAGGAACTAGAGACCATTCTTTGCCAGTCAGAGTAGCAAACACGAAAATTAATCGTAACAGCCAGAACTGGAAAAGATGTGGTAAGAGAAGCAGTTAGTGGCGGTATAAATTGGTACAAATCATTTTAACAATTAATTCAGCAGTAACATGTTAGTTATACTGTTTGACCCAAGAATTTTACTTTTCAGTTAATTAATTAATTTTACGTAAGCTCCACGCCCACTGTGGAGACTAAGTGGGGCTTTAACTCACAACCCTGAGATCCATGCCTGAGCTGAGATGAGGAGTCGGGTGGCCCCCAAGAATCTACTTTTAGAAATTCTCCTAAATAGGGACATTTTTATGTATAAAGATGTTATTCAAAGCATTATGTAGGAAAAATTTTGGAAATAATCTGTATTCAACAGTAAGTTAAATGAAATATATGTGATCAACCTATAACAGATTTACCAAAACCTTAGAATAGGGGAAGAAGTGCAAAGAGATGTAAAAAGAAGTTTATGATAATGAAGTAAGTTTCTGGGTCTGATTATAACTATGTGGAGTAAAAACCCTCTTTCTGTTACTTTTGGTCTTTTGTAGCAAAATGGTACCAGGTAAATTTTTGGGTTTGTAAACTTTCTGGGCATTTTTCAAATTTTAACTATATTACTGAATGTTAAAAACCATTTTCTTAAATCACAGTAGAAAATGCAGGGTATAATTCAGTTTAGCATTTACTTAGTATGTGCTTGATAACTAATAAAGCTAATATGGAAAGAAGAGGGAAAAAAATCCTTGAGAAATGAAAAATCACATATACAAAAATACACTTTCAGATCAACAAAGTTCATTTTCTAGAGCTAAATAGAACCCAGGCCCAAAAATTGAGCCTAAACAAGTCCAAACAATTTCAGAGGTTCTTCTCTCTTTGACATTTAGACAAAGTGTGACATACAACACTCCTTTCTTTCTTTCTTTTTTTTTTTTTTTTTACAACACTGCTTTCTTTAACCACCTCTCTGTCAGGGGGCTGCCAACTTTGATCCAGACAGGCCCACCAAACTCAGAATTGCTAGAGGATAAGGTGTTAAGAGATTACATTGCCTTGAGACTGAGAAACAAGAGACAACCTACCTGCAGTTTAGGAGGCTTAGAAGTATTTATTAGAGGATTCCCTGGATCCAGGCAATAGCCTCACCTCTCTTCCATCCCCTTACATGAACTAGCAAGAGCAAAATTTTGCTCTTGGAACCAGTCCATTCCTTTTTTTTTTTCCTGTTTTTATTTTTATTTATTTATTTATTTATTTATTTTTTTTACGATAGTCATACAGAGAGAGAGAGAGGCAGAGACACAGGCAGAGGGAGAAGCAGGCTCCATGCACCGGGAGCCCGACATGGGATTCGATCCAGGGTCTCCAGGATCGCGCCCTGGGCCAAAGGCAGGCGCCAAACCGCTGCGCCACCCAGGGATCCCGGAACCAGTCCATTCCTGACTGAGAATGACTCACAAATTATGAAGTTTCATGTGTTAGTATCACAAGAATGAGAATTAGAAGAGCCACATGTATATGGAAGAATCCAGTACCTCAGAAGTTCTTATTTTACTCAAGTTGAAAATTATAACTCATTCTATTATTATTCTAGGTCATGTAGAAATTGAAACATGTAGTCACAGAAAATATATACAAGTGGCTTTTCTGAAGATTTTTACGTAAGATACAGGTTTTTCAAAGAGAATCATAATTTTTACTGTAGATAATCAAATAAAGTACTGGTGTACTGAGACATTTTATTTAATTCAATAATGATTACCAAGTTCATATTATGTCCAAGATCCTGAGTTAGACACCATAGGGGATTCAAACATTGATGATAAACATGGCTCTTTCTCTTGAAAAGGTTATAGTCTAGGAGTAAGTTAGCTACACAAATGTAATTCAACAAAAATGTTAAAACTGAGTATGATAAAAAAAAAAACCTGAGTATGATATTATCTAGGATGGTAATAACTTACCCTATAGAATTAGAATTTCAAAACTTATACAAACACAAAGAAAAAGAACTACTCATATTGTAAATCAGAAGCTATTAGGGGATTAATGATCATAACAGCAGGAAATCAGAATAAGAAGAAGTAAAGCAGTAGGAAGGGGGATGGTATGCTCACAAATGTACATTATGCTCTGTATAGAAAAAGAGAAAAACAGACTTCCTTGTCTCTACATCCAGAGTCCATTACCACAGTTCTACAGAGGCAACAAACTGTATGTAGCTAAGGAAACATTTTTTGGATGATGTTCAGCCTGAATCTTGAAGATTCAATAAAAGTTTGCTAAGTAGCTGTTGTACTTTGTGCAGAGGTGTGAAACTAAGTGGAGACAGCAAAAAGTCAGGTACTGTGAAATGATGGAACAGGTTAGGGGACTGTAAACTTCGAGTCAGTCCACAGGTGCTCACAAGGGAGGCAATGAGTCAGAATGAAAAACCAATCTGAGACTAAATTTAGGCGTTTGGTCTTCATGCTTGCTACCTATAACATACAGACATAAGAAACAATACTGAATCAGTCTTTTGATTTAATAAAGCAAAAATTAGCATCTACCCCTATGAGCATTATGATTTGTCAAGAAGTTGAAAACAAGAGCTATGGAACCAGGACTTTACCACTTATTATCTACCTTAGGCAAGTTACTTCAATTTCCTTACCTGTAAACTGGGGATAACAGTAGCTCCCTGAGATGGTTGTGAAGATTAAATCCATTACTAGACAAAACACTTAACATCTGACATGGAAGAAGCATTCGATGTTAGCTGCTGTTATTTCTTCTACCATGTAGCCTACATGACTAGGTACTTTGTGTATGTCACACTAAACACCCTAACAACCTTTCTTTCTTTTTTTAAAAATATTTTATTGGGCAGCTGGGTAGCTCAGCGGTTTAGCGCCGCCTTCAGCCCAGGGTGTGATCCTGGAGGTCCGTCATCGAGTCCCACATCAGGCTCCCTGCATGGAGCCTGCTTCTCCCTCTGCCTGTGTCTCTGCCTCTCTCTCTTTGTATGTCTCTCATGAGTAAATAAAAATTAAAAAAAAAAAGAATTAAAAATATTTCATTTATTTCAGAGAAAGATAAGAGCATGAGTGGAGAGAGGGGCAGATGAGGAGAGAGGAGACTCTCCACTGAGCAGGCAGCCCAATGTGGGGCCTGATCTCAGGACCCTGAGATCATGATCTGAGCAGAAGGCAGATGCTTAACCATTTGAGCCACCCAGGTACCCCCAAACAACCTTTCAAAGCGAATACCTTATTATTAATTTTTTTTCTAAGTAGGCTCCATGCCCATTGTGGGTCCTGAAATCAAGAGTTGAGTGCTTTAGTGGCTCTACTGAATCACATGCTTTACTGACTGGGCCCCAAAGTAAATACATTACTGTTCCCATTTTACAGAAGAAACTGAAGTTAAAGTAACTAAAACTGAAGCATTAGTTATTGGCACATCTAAATTCAAAGTCGAGTCTTTCTGACTTCCAGGTCCATTCCCTTTCTCTTACATTGTAGTAGATTTATAACAGTTTTAAAGGCTTACATTTGTTTATTTTTATTTTTTTAATTTTTTAAAGATTTTATTTACTTATTCAAGAGAGACACACACACACAGAGAGAGAGAGAGAGAGAGAGAGAGAGAGAGAGAGAGAGAGAGAGGCAGAGACACAGGCAGAGGGAGAAGCAGGCTCCATGCAGGGAGCCTGACATGGGACTCGATCCCAGGTCTCCAGGATCAGGCCCTGGGCTGAAGACGGCGCTAAACCGCTGAGCCACCTGGGCTGCCCTTAAATTTGTTTAAATGGTTACATACCATTTTTTGAATCACTCCAGCTTATAACTCTGACATGTAATTCCTCCTTCTCTCTCACATCCCACATCCAGTTAGTTATTCCCCAGCTCTATCAATTTCTGCAGTTTCAAGCTTTCTTTAATTCCTATAGGAGCTACTTAATGAAGAACCTTAAATCACATTCCCCAACATCTTAACCTCAAATTTTGTATGTACCAGTCTGTAGACCCTCTTCAGAGTGGTTTCATGAAAATGTCATCTAGAGTTGACTTGTTGCATAGTCAGGGTGACTATAACTCCTGGCCTGCTGGGGATGGTCTCAGCAAAGTTATTTCAGTACAATTATTAATAGTGCTTCCTTTCACTCTTGAAAGCATGCTGATTAGGTGTGACATTATATGGCCACCCTATACCTGTGGATAGAGCCAAGGGAGCTGAGAAATGATTCCAATTCCTGGTCTAGTATTCCAGAACTTCCACTGTGTACCTTTGGCTACATTTATGAGCTTAAATCTTTTCCACTTGTAGCTTTCCCTGGTTCAAAGTAAACCACTTGCCATTCACTACTGGTGACCTATACATTACCACCTTACAGTCTCTGTCCATTCTCCTTCCCAACCAACATCAGAATTTCTGCCACCAACTCTGCCCAAAGGCCTCCTGCTTTAAGCACCAGTCAAATGGTATGGAAGAAAGGAGTTTTCACTTGATGGTTGTTAAGGGACACAGAAGGGTGGGAGAACCAACAGAATCCAGCCAGGATAGAAGAATTAGAAGAGGGGCATTTGTGTGGCTCTGTTGGTTAAGTGTCTTCCTTCAGC